CGCGGCCGGGCGGCATCTGGGGGTTCTCCGCCCGCCCCCCCCCCCCCCCCGCGGCGGGCGGGTCTTTCTGTTCTTGTCCCATACTTGTTCTGACGCTACAGTTGATACTGTGAACCTTTTGCCCAGGAGGGGGCCCCGAAGCTCCCCCATCACTTTGTGCTGGTCGTGACGTGTGCCCGGTACGACCTAGGCAACCTTCTCCCCTCTTCCCCATGAACCCCCCAACCCTGTGAAGTCTGCACTTCTCCCTCCCAGAGTTCCCCCTGAGTTTGGGGGCTCCGTGCCCTGTTACCGGATACTCCCCCAGATCCCTCCCGCCCACTCCTCCCACAGTAGACAGCCCTGAGCGTGTGCCTGTCCCGACAGCGGGCCACCTCAACCGTGGGTTTCTCTGTGCGTCCTTCCAGAGTGGGTGTTTGTTGGCCTGGTGATCCTGGGAATCTTCCTCTTCTTCGTCCTGGTGGGGATCTGCTGGTGCCAGTGCTGCCCTCACAGCTGCTGTTGCTACATCCGCTGCCCATGTTGTCCAGATTCCTGCTGCTGCCCGCAGGCCTGTGAGTAAAGTGACTAGTGGGGAGATGTAGAACGATCGCGAGAAACGTCACCTCACCGTCAGACAGCTGTGTACCCTGAGCTCCTTCTCCGCCTCCCTTCCTTCCACCTTAAAAGTTGGTCGTTCCAGGCTCACACCTCTGCTGGGAGCCCCCGGCATCCTGAGATGCCCATTGCTGTTTGCTTTCTCACCTGCCTGCACCTCTCCATACTTCTCATCCACACCAGTCACCCCTGCGTTTGCGACTCTCATTGGCACTATTGGTGAAAGGAAGGGCAGCTTCCCGATGTCAGGTTGTGGGTAAGGCTTTTGTCCTCTCTTCAGGCCCTCAAGCCAGAGGAAAGGCCGTGCCTCTCGGATGCAGAGAACTCCTCTTTTAACAAGCAGAGTATGCAGACTGCAGCCTTGGAGTACCATCCGGCCACGGATGAGTTTTATTTATTCCCGTGACAAAACGGTCCACAAAGGGACCAGTCCTTACTTGGGGATTCACAATTTTACCTGAATGGCCGAGCCCGTGTAGCCACTAAGTTGGGCACCCCGGCCATAAGCCGAATACATCTTGAAGGAGAAAGACATACGTGCATCCTTAATATTCTTAGGATGAAAGCAGTTTCCAGGAGGACCCAGGTTATTTGCTCTGCCTTTGAGAGCACAGAGCAGGGCCAGGTGCAAGCTCATTACCTGCTCTGCCTCTCTAGAAGAGGTTTGGGGTCCTCCTGGAACCCAGGAGGGTGGCACGGTGCTAGGCCTCCTCCGGAGAGACAGAGGCAGCCTACGGACAGTGTGGTTAGCAATGGGCCGTGCCGTCACCGCGGACTGCCATGACAGCTCCTAGTACTGCTTACTTACTCAGTTGCCAGCTACTGAACACTGTAATTCCTTATGTCATTGCTTTTGGTGGAGCTGGAGGAGTCCAAGGGGGTGGGGGAGAGTGGTTCTGATGAATCAGTTCAGGCCTAGGAGAACACACACACACACACACACACACACACACACACACACACACAGGCTCACATCCAAGAGCTCCCGTAAGCGCATCCTCAGGGAGTTTTGGCGTGAGGGTTGTGGAGGGTGGGACAATAATATAATCTCTTTTGCTCTTCATCTCCCTCCACAGTGTATGAAGCAGGGAAAGCAGCAAAGGCCGGGTACCCTCCCTCTGTCTCCGGTGTCCCCGGCCCTTACTCCATCCCCTCTGTCCCCTTGGGAGGAGCCCCCTCATCTGGCATGCTGATGGACAAGCCGCATCCACCTCCCCTGGCACCAAGTGACTCCACTGGAGGAAGCCACAGTGGTAAATGTAGTTCCAGACCGCCCTGCCCCATGCTCCTCTCTGGCTTCCGCTCTGGTCCCTTCCTGATCAGAACCATCAGCTCAGTGATTCTTCTTTGGAAAGTGACGGTCTCCATTCCAGAAGTGGGGTCTCTCTAGCTCTATCAGATGCCATCTGGAACGCGTGTCAGGCTCTCCAAGGGCTGCGGGATGTAGCTGCCCCTGCTTTCTTCCCAGACTCCTCAGGAACTAAGATGATGAGGAAAAGAGGCAAGGTCCCCGTTGAATGTGGGTCATCCAGTGAATAAATCGTTCTTTCAGCCCTACCTAGGGTTCAGGACTGTTGCACTACGGTAGGTACTGTGAGGAACACTGAGAAGTTTAGGACACGGTTTGCCCAGGAAGCGGTACGGCCCAGCCAGGGAGAGACAACAGACTTTTATTAGAACAATTAGATGCCGTAAAGAGTATGGTGCTGGGAATTCAAAGGATAAAGAGCTGGAGCAGTTACAGAGTGTTCAGGGAAGAGGTGGCTTTGAGCTGGGCCTAGAAGAACACAAAGGAAAAAGAAAGCAGACAGCGGGTTGCTGGGCACCCCCAGGAAGGACACGTGGTGGAAGCCTGGGGCTGGAAGAACAGGGTGTGTGTTTGACAGTCTCCAACTTGGCTGACTGGAAGAAAGTGGGAGGCTTTAATGGAGCCTCACCCAGGTGAGGGAGGGCCTCGAAACCCCTTCAGGAGAGCCGGGACTTGGTGCCATAAGGGAGTCGGAGCCACTGCAGGCAGGTTCCTGAGTTCTTGGAGAGGTGCTGTGCTAACAAGGCAAGTGGGAACGGAAGAGAGTGGGGTCAGCGATCCCGGGCTGAGAGGTGACTGAAGCCGTTCGGGGGGTATGAGAGCATCTGGGTCGTGATGGAGGCCACGGAAGTTGAAATGAGCAGGTAAATCTGAGAGATACTTCGAAAGAGGAAGCAGGTATGACTTTAGGGAATGCAGGAAAGGGGAGGCTTCAGGATGAGTGCAAGCTGTCCAGTGATGCGCACCATAGACGGAATTAAGTACTTGGTAGGGAGAGCTTATTTGGATGGAGATGAGCCCTGGTGTTTAGGGCATGATGCATTCGTGGTTATTGGCGAGGGCACAGGGGTAGCAGGGGCGGAGAGACATTAAAATGTAGCTTTCCGGGAGGTGTCTGAACAGGATTACAGGGTAGTAGCGATTAGACGTGTGTGAAGTATATTTGGAAGGCAACTTAAATCCCTAGGTGTGGATGAGCCAGCAGGGTTGGTAAAACAGACACTTCTCCCCTGGAGGTATCTGGACTTCCTTCAGTGGGTGCGGGAAGAGTATCCGGCCCACTGAATGACCTGTCCGTGCTGGACCCTGGAAGGAGTGGATATCCTCAGTGAGCAATTGGTATTTGTGGGTTTTTTTCTTTTTTTTTTTCTTTTTTTTACCCTCTCCCTGGAACTATTAGTAGAATTCTGACGTCTGAGCCTGGCAATGAGTCACAGACTGAGAAGTAAAAGTTAATGATCAAGGACACACAGAGAATTGGAGAGATAAAGACAATATAGTTCGTTTCTCCCAAGGATGGAATGGGAAAAGAGACGTTAATGGAACTTGTCTCATAATCGGTTTGTGGCTTCCCCTTTCTCCAGTCTTTTTATCCTTCCTTCCCAGCAGAACCCATTCCCTCTTACTTTTTGGAAATGGATTCTCGTAATGAAATGATTCTTACTCATCGGGTGACAGACACTTCCTCTCTCCTGATTTCAACCTTTTTCTGGTTCCTGCCATACTAACCCAATGCAGTTAGAAGTGGCTTGAGGGGGCGCCTGGGTGGCTCAGTCGGTTGAGCGTCCGACTTCAGCTCAGGTCACGGTCTCACAGTTCGTGAGTTCGAGCCCCACGTAGGGCTCTGTGCTGACGGCTCAGAGGCTGGAGCCTGCTTCGGATTCTGTGTCTCCCTCTCTCTGTCCCTCCCCCGCTTTGCACCGTCTCTCTCTCTCAAAAAAATGAATAGATGTTTAAAAAAAAAAACGGTTAAGAAAAAAAGAAATGGCTTGAAACATAGGAACACTTATTATTTCACAGAGCAAGAAATCCCAAGGAAAAGTGGCTCCGGGGTTGCTTAATCGATCAGTTCAGGTAGCACCACTGAAGGACTGAGTTCTTTATAGCTTTTGTTCTGTCCTTCCAAGCTGGCTCCCCTTATGATCCTGTGGTGACTGCCACAGTTCAGGTACTAAATGCATTCAGAGATAGAAAAAGATACGCTTCTCCCTTGTGCTGCTTTTCTCAAGAGTGAGGAAACCTTTTCCAGAAGCCCCTCCCCCCTTCTAACAGACTTCTTGGTGGTTTTATTGGCAAGAATTGTGTCCTGTGCCCGTTTCTATACCAGATTGGCTTGAACTAATCGAGGCGCATCTCTTAGGCCAGAGACACCTAATCACCTCGGAAATGAACAAAATCAGGGTTCTGTCAGCCGGCAAAAAGGGGAAGATGCACAACCAATGTTAGCCACAGCTAGTCTGGCCCAGGTTGTCATCGTGTGGTTCACTGAGTCAGGATAGCATTCCTCATGACCCCTAGTGGGCACATTTCCGTACTCATGGCCCCATGGACAGAATTATTGATGGCATCCGGTTATTTGTCTGTTAAGAAAAAGGTGGCTTAAGCCAATGTTCTATGTACATTATTTGTTAAAGAAGGTTAGAGATGTTAAGAAGTGCTGATTTATAAAGATGTCAGTTTAGCCTATTTTATATTTATATGCTAGCTCAATTTTAGGGCAATCATCTAGCAATAGTGATTTTTCAGGTCACGTTTGTATACAATGCCCTTTTGAACCCTCTGGGTAGTGGGAAAGGCATCTTTGATGAGCTGCGTGTGTAGTGTAGCCAGTCAGTTACCAACTGGGAGAGAGAAGAGGCGCCTTGATTCCCTCCCCCGTTCTTCTAGGCAGCTATTTGAGACCTCTGTTACAATAGAAGAACTCTCTCCTCCTGTCCTGCCCTGGACTCAGCCTCTTCAGCTTTGTCAAGGTTCTCTCTTTATTGAGTACCCCACATTCCATCCCAGGCTCCCCTCTCCTTGCCGGGCCGTCTTGCTCTAGAGACTCCTTCCCAGCAGCATTCAAAGCGTGCCTGAATCTCTCCATTAAAATAAAACAACAATTTGCAAAAACCTCGGAGTCCTTGGATGTTGCTTCCCTACCCCTTTTCTCCTCTTCACAGCTGAACTCCTTCAACGTTTCGGATGTTTCACGTCTCCATTTCCTCCGCTTTTCGCCAACTCCTCGACTAACCTCCATCTTGCTATCGCTTTCACTACTCCAGAAACAGTGCTTGTGAAGACTGCCTTGTGGCAAATCTAACCAATGCTTCCCAGTTCTTAACCTCCCTTGACTTCTTAAAGCGTCTGCCACCCCTGCCCCCCCCCCCCCTCTCTCTTTGCCTTCCCCAACACGTTGGTTAGTAATTTTTCCTACTTATTTCTCTCCACGCTGGCTGGCCTTCCTCCTGTTTTGTCCAAGGTCCTCTCCCTGGGAAATGTTATCTACTCCCACGGCTTCAATCATGTTTTCTATGCTTATGGCTCCCAGTCACTGTCTCCAGCCCCTCTCCTGCTCCTCAGTCCCATGTACCCAACTGCCTGGACATCTCACAGGCATTTCAAACTCGGACTCTAGGAAGTCGAATTAGTCTGCTGTTTTTTGACTGCAAACCAACCCCCGCGTTTCTTATCACAACAGGTGGCCCTGTTGTCCACCCGGCAGCCCCAACCAGAAGCAGGGACCTTGTCCTCATCTCTGCCTCACTTCCCTCATCCGGTTGGTCACCAGGTCCCTCGGATTACACCTCAAAATAACCTCGAATCGGTTTACTTTCCTCCACCTGTATTGTGCTATCCTAGCCCCTGCTACCCTTGTCTCTCACCTTGATTAATGCAACTATCTCCGACACTGGCTTTCCGCCGCTACTCTTGCCTTGTTCTAATTTATTTTCACATCCACCTGGCCTCCCCTCATTCTTCTTACAAAAGAATTGAGTAGGCAAGTAGGGTTTTGAAATGTCATTTTCAAAACTAATAAGGATATGCGTCTATATATATGCCTACTGTATGTATACAGAGGATATGCAAATTTTAAACATCACTTCTCCCACAACTGAGCTGCTGTCACCCTGGGGGTGGAATGTGGCAGCTGTTCCGTCATCCATAAACAGCCTTACTTAGCTCATTAAGATAGGGTAGGAAAAACAAGGCTATATCCATGGGTATCTGCCTCAGAGACTTCTTCTGCAAGTTTTACAAGTTAGGCTTGGCTGTAAAGGAGAAATTAACTGAAAAGTAGCTGATTTCCAGTCAGCTGGGTCAAACACATCAGCTCAACTACTTTAACAATAAGAATTTTTGTAGTTTGGCATCAAAGTGAACATCCCAATACTCCCTCCCCTCCAGAACCAAAGTTGCCGAGGCTAATCCATTCGAGGAGTTCAAGTATGAAGAGCCACAGCAACGAAAGGAATTGGGCCAGGCAGAGCTGGAAAAGATAAATGGATCCCGCATCCATGCTAAACGGAAACATCACTGGGGGGAAGAGTCACTTTCCAAAAAGGGCTGGACTTTGGCCGATGGTCCAGGACCTGTCTTTTTAAACTATCACCACACATCAGGGAGTTCTCGGATCTTCAGGCAAATGACAGATAAAAATCAACCTGACACCCTTTTACTTGTTTTCATAGAAGAAAAATTTGATGAATGCCTACGAATTTTCCCTCACAGAATTTGCTGTCTAGCAAAATGGGCATTGGGGGTTTGTGAATGGACATAAAACGAGTGAAGAAATACAAAGCAGTGTATGATAAGACTGCTCCCTGATGCGAGCTCAGAGAAGGAAAAGTCTCATCTGCTTGGAGGGATGAAGAGAGGTTTTCTGGTGTTTTAAATGCTCCTGAGCATGTATGTGACACAGAGCCAGATTCTGCCAGGATGAGAGAACTTGTTTTCGTTCTAGTTTTAGTGTGCTACACAATCAAACTTACAGTTTTTTTTTTTTTTCAACGTTTATTTATTTTTGGGATAGAGAGAGACAGAGCATGAACGGGGGAGGGGCAGAGAGAGAGGGAGACACAGAATGGGAAACAGGCTCCAGGCCCTGAGCCATCAGCCCAGAGTCCGACGCGGGGCTCGAACTCACGGACCGCGAGATCGTGACCTGGCTGAAGTCGGACGCTTAACCGACTGCGCCACCCAGGCGCCCCAAAACTTACAGTTTTCAGTTGGAAAAAAAGAAACACCTTTTTGCAGGGAGAATGGCCTAGCTTTTTAGCTACTGAAACCAAATAGATGATACCTCTAAAGTCTAAATATCAATAATTCGTCCTCGTCCTTCTCAGCAAATCGGAGGGATTTAGATTTCTGAAGACGTTAGCTGAAGTCAAGGCAGAAAGTATCTGTTCTAGCGGAGTCTCTTTATAATGCCAGGATTGGAAGGCGAGACAACTGTCTTCATTTGAGGCTGTAAATAGTGACTGTAACCTTTCAGGGACATGATAACCTGTGCATACATCATCAAACCTGTCTCACAAGGAGGAGTGTGATTTGTTATAATGGCACAGAAAACAATCTATGCTCTACTCCAAGTTGCAACTAACGGAGAGGTTTCCAGCTGTTGCTCAGAGAGGCGGCCATCTCTCACCACCAGGGGACAGCTGGGACATTGTTCCATAAAGCAACACCTCCCCACCTCCACTTGATCTCAGTATGACTGAATGTTTACCGTAACAGTGCTTCACACATTTAAAACACCTGGCTGAGGCCATAGTTCAGGTGGGGTAGGCCCCTTCCCTAATGCCTATAGCACCTGCTAGTGTTCTCCTTTAAAAAATAACCATCAATGATGGCAGCAAAACTGACCTAAACCTTGCTGCTCCCTCAAGCCATCGTTCAAGTCCTCCCCTTCCTGGCCAAAACCCTCTGACCAACCAACCACATGGCTGCTTCTGCCTTACTCTGCAGTCCCTTGTCATATAGTTTCTATTCCTGATTTCTGTTCATTCGTTCGTTCGTTCATTCACTCATTCATTCATACAAACACATGTTTCTAGGGTCTACAGTGCGCTAGGCTCTGTGCTTGTGCTGGAGATGCAGAGATAGAACCGGTCCTTGTCCTCAGGAAGTTTAGAATCTAGAGAGGGAAACTCTACAGGAAATACTCTTTCCAAGGAAATCATTACCCCCCGCACCACCCTCAGACTAGCACCAATTCAGCTCAAACGTTTATTTAATTTATTTTTTTTTAATTTTTTTTTCCAACGTTTTTATTTTTATTTTTGGGACAGAGAGAGACAGAGCATGAACGGGGGAGGGGCAGAGAGAGAGGGAGACACAGAATCGGAAACAGGCTCCAGGCTCCGAGCCATCCGCCCAGAGCCTGATGCGGGGCTCGAACTCACGGACCGCGAGATCGTGACCTGGCTGAACGCTTAACCGACTGCGCCACCCAGGCGCCCCTCAAACGTTATATTAAGTGCCTACCAAGCACTGTTCTGGGCTTTACGCTGATCTAGAATAAGACTTCTTTTCCTTCGAAAATCTTTGGGAAGATGAGACATTTATACAAATAATTTGGAACAAACTAGAGCGTATTGAGGGTCCTAGTGAAACTTCCAAGTAAATGGTTTATAAGAGAGAAATGAGATGGAGAGAGAGAAGAAATAGAACTTTATAGCTATGAGAATCAGAGAAAGCTTTTGGAATGTGGTGCCATTTGAGCGGCCCCTGACAATTACAAGGAACTCAAAGAACTCTACCGATTAGGTCTTTGTTGTCCTCTTTTTTACCTTTTTAAATTTTTTCTATATCTGTCTTCTCTTCCTTGTGAAGAGAAAGGTTGGGAAGATTTAAAGTTGGGGAAGTATTAGTTGCATTTTATAGACATTAAAACCAAGTACTTGGTAGGTCATCATTTATTTGAGGCCCCTCAATAAACCAGCCACATGCCTACCAGTGCCCAGTTCCCTATTTCCTAGCCCTGTGTTTCATCCATCAGACATGACTGCCTCAGAACAGACATAGCAGTTCCGTGGGATAATTGCATTTTAATTGAACTGTCTGTACTACTCTGTAAACGCCTCTGCAGAGATGGAAGGAAGAGTGTGTAGCTTGATAAATAAAATCATTCCTGCTAATAATTGCTTCTGCATAAGGATTACGGATCTAACCTCCAGGAGAAGGTGCCACTTAAACGCGTGTGCTGAGATTCATTCGTTTTTTTTTTTTTTTTTTTGAAGTGATTCCACAATTGGAGATGAATCTGAACTGCCCAGAATGTTCTCATATAGAAAATTGGTGCACCTGCAAATGGGTGTGGGGGCGTTCTTTCAGTTTTCGGTGCCAGGGCTGTGATCAGTGTGCTGCGGAATGCTGTATTTTAATCTTCCGTGGACATAGTTCGTGTGTGGGGCTTTGTCCACAGCCAGGGTAAGGTGACCAGAAAGCAGAGTCCCCTCTGGAGGCACATGCAGTCATGTGGTTTCTTTATGGCATTCGCCCTGCTTTGGGAACAGAGGACGTTGGGGGTTGGGTCACTTTCTTCCATCCCGTTGTAGAGTCCTGACTGGCAAGAAGATAGGACGACGGCTCAGATCCTCCCACCTAGGGCACACCTACGAGCATTTCCTACTCTGGGCTTTCTCCTCTTGTCTTTCCTACTACCCCTGACTCCTAGGCCCCAGAGAGGCTTCAGTCAGATAACATGGTTCCAGCTCTGGTGCTGCCAGTAATGCTTGAGCAAGTTATGAAATCCCTCTGAATCAGACTTTTCTCAACCATAAAATGAGGCTACCGGAACTTCATTAGGGGTTGGGAGGAATGAACGTCCATGAAAGCATTTAGCACCGTACCTCAGCACATTTATAGTGCCCAATGAGTGTTGTCTCTTGCCATTATTGTTACGTCCCCATTCCATTCCTTCCCTTCTCTTGTTTCCCTTATCTGTGAAGATTAGACGTGCCTGTGTCTGATCACCCTTGAGGCTGGTATTGGACTTGGCTGATACTTAAGTGATATGGGGCTTCAACAGCCTTTGTATCTGACAACATGAGTGATGGGAATGTAGGAGGTGGTATTATCTCTCAGGCTTTAGTTTTGTTTCTTATTAAGCCCTGAAAATAACACCTGCTTGTAACCACATAGCGGCAGGTTGAATTTATCATGTCTAGAATGTGGTATTCCCTTTCCTAAAAGGAAAATGTTAAAGAAATAAATGGAACCATACTTAGCAATCCATGTGGTTTGCACCTTCCTTGGCCCAAATGTGTATCATAGTCTCTAATCCCAGTTATGGAGTTTTTGCATCATCTCCCAGGACACTAGAGGCGTTCAGGCCACCTTTGTCAAGGTCCCTGATGTTGGGGTGTCTGTTTTATTTACATGTGCTCCTACCAAGTGAAGATGTGATCCCCAGATGGTATAGAATGATCTGTCTAGAAAGTGGTCTTTTTTTTTTAGTGTGAGTATACTTCCCTGAGCTTTGAGAAGATGATCTTTAAGTGGAGCTCTAGAAGGTCAGAAAGCAGGAAACAGAATTTAACAAGTGACCCAAAATACACTGTCATAGAACTCTGTTATTTACCTGCTGTTCCTCCGTTCCAGGGGCACCATCTGATAAAAGGGATCTCAGGTATGGTTCCATAAGTATAAATATAGATGACTATTTCTGGGTGATTTCAAAAAGAGTTGTTATAAGCGGGGACCATGTTTTTTTCACTTGGTAAAATGGAGGCCCCCTCCTGCTTTTTTCAGCTCACCTTCCTGTCCTTTCCTTAACAGTTCGCAAAGGCTACCGGATCCAAGCGGACAAAGAGAGAGACTCCATGAAGGTCCTGTACTACGTCGAGAAGGAGCTGGCTCAGTTTGATCCGGCCAGAAGGATGAGAGGCAGATGTGAGCATCTGTTAGTTCTGTGTGATCTGCGCGTCATGCGGGAGTTCAACGCTGAAGGGGATTCGGGGGTTACCAAACCTGGGCAGCCCTGAGCTCTCAGGGTTAGAACCAGCAAGGGTGCCGGTGACATCCTGAGGACAGTAGCCTCAAGTACACACAAGGGAGAGAAAGGGCTTCTGGTGCGAGGAGTAGAGCAGATGTGTGTCCCTTGGCTTACGTTGCATCTCTCCATGGAGTAGCCAGCGCTGTTGGGCCTGTGCAGTCCTGGGGTTGGAAATACTTTATTCGAAGAGTCTCTCCCTGCTACTCTCTTTAAAACAGATTCAGAATAATGACAAAAGATGTGCGTTTTTTTCCCAGCACGAAAGCCCCCATCATTGAACAACGGTCCAGCTGCTGACTTGCTAGAGGGGGGGCCTCGAGGAAAGTGAACGAGCAAGTCTGCCAAATGAATCTACAAAAAGGAGGCCCGACGTTGCTCTGAGATCCCCAGCAGCAGAGACCGAGGGGCTAGCAGAAAGGGTGTCCCTCTCGTCAAGAGAACCTTTAAATCACGGAGTTGCAGGGCCCCAACCTTAACTCACTCGCAGCCCATTGGACGCTTGGCAGCCGACACGGCTGATTATTTGGCGAGGATCCCAAATTACCTTCCGTGATGAGGGGCGGCACAGGGCAGGTCTGACGTAGATTCGCTGATTATCAAAAGGGTGCTGGCGGGCCTGGTAGTAAGGTCACAATGTCTGTCTCTCTTTGAACCCTCCTTGCCTTGGAAGCAAGGAGAGACTCGATAGAATTGTTGGGGAAACAGTCCCAGACTAGAGGCACTTTATTCAGATTAAGGACAACATATTCCTCCCAGTTTGCAATGCTAAATTCATCCTGTCTGGGCTGCATCCTCCCACCGCAGGGACTATAAAAAGACAATCTCCAGATTGGAATGTCAGGAATGCAGATGTCACTGCACTTGACAAGTTAGTTGTAACGTGTTGTCATGGAGCCCTGTGAGGGGACACAGATAGGGATCAAGGAGAAGGAGCCTGGGAGGAAATCTGTGGATCTCACAGCTCAGAGAAAAAGTTAAAACCTGAGGTTAAGCTAGAAGGATGGGTGCCGGTTTAGGTGATGTCTCCTGCCTACCTGGATGGTCTTGGGGGACTGACAGATCATTAATGTCATGGAATCTTAGCATCCATGGAATCTTAGCATCTTAAAGATGGCTGAGGTCAACCTTTGCAGTGTACAGATGAGGAAACAGAAGCCCAGAGGGTTGAAGTGACCGGACCAGGATGAGAACCCAGCTCTTCTGATTCCCAGTCCTGTGCTCTTTACCCAAGAAATTTTTGAGCAAACTGGATGGCTCCGTGGCTGCCACGGCTGTATCTGTTTAGAGATCACAGCCTTTTACCTCCTAGGACTTTAGTATGTTAGAGCTGAAAAGATTGAGGTTGTTGAATCCACCTCCCTCATTTATTCAACGTTTATTCATTTTTGGGACAGAGAGAGACAGAGCATGAACGGGGGAGGGGCAGAGAGAGAGGGAGACACAGAATTGGAAACAGGCTCCAGGCTCTGAGCCGTCAGCCCAGAGCCCGATGCGGGGCTTGAACTCACGGACCGCGAGATCATGACCTAGCTGAAGTCGGACGCTTAACCGACTGCGCCACCCAGGCGCCCCCACCTCCCTCATTTAAAAAAAAAAATTTTGGGGGCGCCTGGGTGGCTCAGTGGGTTAAGCGGCCGACTTCGGTTCAGGTCATGATTTCGCTGTCTGTGAGTTCGAGCCCCGCGTCGGGCTCTGTGCTGACAGCTCGGAGCCTGGAGCCTGTTTCAGATTCTGTGTCTCCCTCTCTCTGACCCTCCCCCGTTCATGCTCTGTCTCTCTCTGTCTCAAAAATAAATAAACGTTTAAAAAAATTTTTTTTCAAATAAAAAAAATAAAATAATTTTTTTTTAAATAAAAAAATAAAAAAAAATTTTTAAACATTTATTCATTTTTGAGAGACAGAGAGAGAGAGAGAGAGAGACAGAGCATGAGTCGGGGAGGGCAGGGAGAGAGAGGGAGACACAGCATATGAAGCAGGCTCAGGCTCCAAGCTGTCAGAGCACAGAGCTGGATGCGGGGCTCGAACTCATGAACCGCGAGATCATGACTTGAGCCGAAGTCGGACGCTTAACCGACTGAGCCACCCAGGCGCTCCCATCTCTTTCCTTTTACAGAGAAGGAAAGGGAGGCAGAGAGGAAAAGTGCTAGAACTGGAACAGGATTTCCTGGAACCTGCGGGTTGACATTACAATAATTGCACAGAGATGAAGTAGGAATATAGTTCACTTGACTTTGAGAGGTTCTGTTCCTGAAGAGCAGAGTAAACCCTGGGGTGGATCTTGGACGTGGGACGGTCTTGAAGATCTCCTTGTAAAACGGATCTCCTGGTTTCAGGCTGGGGCAAGATTCTGTAAGAACTGGGAATTTCAAGTTCATGAATATGCTAGCCAGGAAGATCCTTTTTCTTCTTGCCCCTTGTAAGTAGGGGGTTGCTCTTGGGATGTTTTTAGTCCAGGATCCTTCCTAGTGCAGTGATCTGTAGACAACAGCTACCAGGGCAAATATGTTCCACTTCCTGTTTTTGTAAAAAGGTTGTATTGGAACAGAGCCATGCCGGCTCACTTATACATTGACTGTGGCCGCTTTTGTGCTACAATGGCAGGGTGAAGAGTTGTGACAACACGGCTTGCAAAACCTAAAATATTTGCTATCTGGCCCTTTACAGACAAAGTCTGTCTTTCCTGTCCTAGAGTTACATTATTAGGTGTTCGTGAAGCAGGGACGTTGATGTGTATGCTCGATGCGGCAGAAATGTTAGAGCCGCAGACATCCTAGATGGTCCACCAGTATGAATGGTGAAACAGAGCTAGCCCTCACTGTGTGGAGAAGTGGGAAAAGTCCATTATTCCCTGAAGTTTAAGGAAAGTTCTGAGCCAACAGTGTGATCGTTCAGCAGTTTCACTTGATGCATTTTATAGTTCTCTTCTTTTTTTAATGTTTATTTATTATCGAGAGACAGAGACCAAGCATGGGCATGGGAGGGGCAGAGAGGGGGAGACACAGAATCCGAAGCAGGCTCCAGGCTTTGAGCTGTTAGCACAAAGCCCAACGCGGGGCTCGAACTCACAAACTGCCAAACTGCAAGATCATGACCTGAGCCGAAGTCGGACGATTTACCGACTGAGCCACCCAGGCTCCCCTGATAGTTCTCTTCTGTGCTGTTCCCAGGAGATTCGAATTCACTGAGATCATGAGAAAAGGAAGGTTCTAGATTGTTTAATCAGTAGTATCTGAGTTATTTTTCTTTAAAATGGGCACTAACTAGTCCATTCTCCTCAGAAAGAGGAAAAGGTTTAACAATTAGATTATAATCCAAAACCAACTGATTGCATGACCAAAATGAATGACATTTCCAGTAAGCCCAGATCTGGTAGAACAGGACAAGGACACTGTTTATGCAGTGGTGGGGAGGCCCTTCCTTTCCTCTATGGGTGGGACTCAGCAAAATTCTCTGCTCCTCCAAGGACTGTTGGGGGTAGGGAGGAGAAGTAGAGGGGAACCTGAGACACATATTTGTGCTGCCCACATCCTATCTTGGCTTACCTTTTGCTCAACAGCCAGGCCTTACACCTTGTAAATGTTGATTTTGATAATATTTTGAAGTTCTAACCAAAGGATTGTAGAAAACAAATGGATCCAGTTACATTAGAAATAGATTCGCTAGATGTGTTTTTTTTTAAGTAAAATGATATTCAATCCATTTCGAAGTTCTATAAATAAATAGTTGGTGGTTTTTGTTTTTTTTTTTTTTTTCCTTTCCAGACTGCGATTCTGGTCTTATTCACAAGTGCTTATGCAAAATGCTACTTAGGGCCCTTTAGGGAATGAGCAAACTGTGGCCATCCCCTCCTTAGAATTTTGTAGGAAGAGTACAAGTGGAAGCCCATAGACCATAGTGCAACCCAATCCCCCTTTCCTTCCCACACCTCTACACAACTGTCCTAGCCACCCGTGGCTGCACACTCCTGGAATCCTCTTTAGGGAGGCAAAGGAGTCTTTGTAGGCCCTGGAAATGGACGTGGTGCCAACTGGGAAGGATATTCCAGGTTCCTGGATGAGTATCCAGAAAGGGAAAGAATGGATACGAGGTATGCAGTCCCCTTGACCCTGTGGACTGTGCTCTGTGGTGAGGGGCACGGCTGCAGGAGGCTGGACTGGGGTTCCTCTAAAGCATGGGGCTGTCCCGGCTCTGAAGGCCCGTCTTGGGACTCAGGCAACAGTAGGGAAGATCTTGTGAACTACGACTTCTCTTTTTGCCCCTTTTGGCTCAACATGCCTGGGATCGTCACGGCTTTCACCCAAGTATACGTGGAGAAAAACACTGGAACAAGGATGGTGATGCTCTAGGAGGAAACCAGCTGCAAAAGAGCCCAAGTTCTGGGAAGCCTGCCTTAGGTGGAGCAGTAACAACTGTTTTCCCATTCCACCAACAGAGATTGCGGGAAGCCTTCCTCCTGATAAGCAAGTGGGCTTTTGGGTGGAGCCAGTTCCCGCTGAGCTCGGAACACAAATCCCATTAGTTCAGGTCTATAACCAACCCTGGACAGGATTGAGGCCTTCGGGAGGGGGGTTCCCCAGAGCCTCGGTCTCAGCCCTTCACAGAGTTCCCACCCTAATACGTAGAAAGCTCTGTCATGTCTGGTTTTGTCCCTGCAGATAACAACACCATCTCGGAACTCAGCTCCCTGCACGAGGAGGACAGTAATTTCCGCCAGGCGTACCACCAGATGAGAAGCAAGCAGTTCCCTGTGTCGGGGGATTTGGAGAGCAATCCTGACTACTGGTCAGGTGTCATGGGAGGCAGCAGTGGGGCAAGCCGGGGACCCTCAGCCATGGAGTATAACAAAGAGGATCGGGAGAGCTTCAGGCACAGGTGAAGGTGGCTGCAGCAGGCAGCTTTGGTGCCGGGTGCTGGTGGCCGGAGCTCGGAGGCTGTTACTTTCTGATAGCATCTCTGTCTCCCCTTCTAGGTTGTCCTGCCACATCCCTTTGGGCTATTGAACATCCCCTTCTCACATTAATTTTTTATTAACTTTTTAAAAAATCTTTATTCATTTTTGAAAGAAAGAGAGACAGAGCGTGAGCAGGGGAGGGGCAGAGAGAGAGAGAGAGGGAGACACAGAATCCGAAACGGGCTCCAGGCTCTGAGCTGTCAGCGCCAAGCCGGACGCGGGTCTGGAACTCACAAACCGCGAGATCATGAGGCTGAAGCTGAAGTCGGCGGCTTAAGTGACTGAACCACTCAGGCGCGCCCCACCCCCTCACATTTATTAAGCAGGGGAACACTTAAGACACCATGTGTAGAAGTAATCATTCAAGGCCCTTTGAAATGGGCACCGTACTGAACCTTAATGCACCTTATTAACTACGTTTCCTTATTAACCTTATTGACATTCCCCTGCCCTTCTCATAATATTTTATCCTATAACCTCTAATAATTCCCACCCATCACCCCCATCATTTGATCATTGTTACGTGAAAGGTAAGATGCCAAACACGTTATATATGCTGTTGTATTTGATCCTCATAACTCTAAAAGGCAGGTACTATTAATGTCCCCATTTTAAGTTGGGGCGGGAAGGGGGGCTGAGATTTGCAGATGTTGAGGAGCTTGGTAGAGTCACCTGGCCAATGAATATGGGAGGCCAAGACGTGCACCCTGTTTTGTTGGGCCGCTTCCCACTGAATAGGACCAACACCATTCCCCTGTCCTTTATCTTGAAGGACCCTAGGCATTGTCTTTCTCTCAGACTGACCAACTGCAGGTAACTTGCAGAGATAAATTGACCCTGGGCTCTGAGGGAGGAAATGGGCTCTTTGTATATCACCAAATATTACAGGGTATTCTTGGGCTACAACTGTGTGCATCCCAAGCCACCCCAACCCACGCTGGCTTTGAGGGTGTGAGGAGACATGTGGCTGTCAACCAGAAGTCACATAATGATCACAAGGCCCCACTGTGTGTTTCAACACCATATACATATCACCATTTTTACCTACAACTCCGTCTTGATCCTTGGCACGAATTCAGGAGCTAGCCACGGCCGCCCTCGCTCTACTTTGAGAGTCCGGGGTGTCCGAGGTGTCCAAGGCCGCTCGGCCAGCCAGAGCACATGGCGCTCTC